TTAAAAAAACTTATGTAGCAGAGTTTCCAATACACTTGCTCCATAAGTTGCAGACGATGCCCAGAGAAGTACGAAGTTAGTCCAAAAGAGTCGAAGCAGCAAGAAAAACGCATAAGATGCCCAGGAAGTCATAATATACGACCAAAAGCGTCGAAGTAGCGCATACTCATGACGCGCGCTTTGATCTGATGGCATAGTTTCTTGACAGGCCGTAGAAGGTTTCCTAAAAAAATAAGCCGGTTTTGGTACACCAGTTGTACCCAAGAATTAAAGGGCACACACAATTTGGAATTACAACAAAGTCTTCAACTGATGTGCGACCAAATACTGTAATTTTTAGTTTCACCTTTCCTCTGGTTGGTATGCTTTCCCCATGAGCAGTTAGTAGAACTGAGTAGTCAGGGAACACTTTAAAGGGGCACTGACACCCCAAAGGTCGTATTCTTTTTTATTGTCTAAAACGATGCAAGTTGTAGTCATAAACACGCAAAAAAAACCGCATCGCGAAAACAAATTTTCCCGCGCGCGCGCGCGCCTTTTTATTTTTGGCGTTTATATTTCCCGCGCTCACCTCCTTGCTTCTTTTGATCGGTGACGTCAAAAATCAGGAAATTTAGAAGCTTTGTAGGCGACCTTTCTATAACATTTAATAACGGCAATCGTAAAACATGTTTTTTTAACGCAATTGCGAACGCACTACGGCCTTTCTTTTTGAAATACCGAAAATAAGATTTCGGTGTGATGTCGCTTCCTGGATTTGTATGCTCCCTCGGAAAACTTGGCGGCGCTCGAGCAGAGGATTATCGGCGAGTCGGGGACGAAACCGGTTTTTTTCCCGCGCCGGCACCCTTCTATCCCGCCTGCTCGCCTCCTCCTCGCTTCGGGCCGCGGTAGCAACGGCGCTTAGCTTCACAGCGTGGAGCGGAGGTCCGAAAGAAAGTCAAGTTGCAGGAGACCGCAAAATTTGACTCACTGCACTGGCGCGGATCGCGCGGGAACTTCAAATTCGGCATTTGGAAATCGTTTTTTTAATTCAGAAATACTGAATTCCCAAGTTTCAAATTTTGAGGGTAATGTCCAGGCATCGTTTTCAATCGTTTCGGATAATAAAATAAAATACGATTTTGATGTGTCAGTGCCCCTTTAATGTCCGAGGAAAGAAAGGACATATCAATAGCATTCACAGCTGCTCCAGTGTCAAAAAGTGCGTCCACAACCCCCACGTTTTCAACCAGTACAGGATGGCGGGGAACCGACGTTAACTGGTGTGTAACTGATACGAGGGGCCTTTGAGGAGTTATACCCGGTTCCGCCCCCAAGGACCGGGAGTAGCGTTTCCCGATGTAGCAGGAGCAGCTGAGCATTCGGCCGCAAAATGACCACGACGGCCACATCGGTAGCACGACCCAGCGGTATTGTTCCGTGAACGAGCAGACGCAGGCTGAGAGCGCGCGTGTCCTGTGGAATTGTCAATGGTTGCACTGTAACTCCAGGAAGTGCTGCTGGTTGCATGCGGCTGGTAGCCCATTGAGCAGCGCTCATCTCCATGGCATGTCCGAGTGCAGATCGTATTGTTTCTGGTCTTGTTAGTCTTACAAACTTCTGGACCTCAGGGTTGCCTATGGCATCCACAAACGCGGCTGTGCCGACACGATTCAATGTATCAGACGTTGCGCCCGGGAAGGATTTGTAGGTCAAACGCTCTATACTTGCAGCGAGTTCTGGAAAACTCTCGCTTGCTTGTTGAAAACTCTCGCTTGCTTGTTGGCGCCGCGAACGTAATTCTGCATAGAATGCTTGCTGCAGATGTTCATCACCGAAACGATCGCGCAAGCTCATGATCAATGCTGCGTAAGTGAGCCGGGTTCCTTGGAGCGCATGAAGAACGCTGAGGGCAGGGCCATCTAGTTGCGCAATGACAGCGCGTGCCTTCTCGTCTTCAGTCCAGTGGTTTGCATCGGAAATGATGTCAACCTGCTGTAGGTATAGATCCAAGGGTGTTTCGCCATTAAATGGCTTTAACTTGAGACGGGGTTGACCAGAAGATGTAGTCGGGCGGCTCGTGAAAAGTGTCTGCTCGACTGCGAAGACAGTTGGTTGCGCTGTTTGCTGAAGTGTCTCCAGAGCAGCTACTCGACGGCAGATGTCAGCATTACTTGCGGTTAGAAGGTCCGAAGATTGCTGCGTAGCAGTTGCAGTTCCAACAGCAGTTCCAACAGCCTTTGCAGCGTCTCCAATGTCACCGCTGTCGTCGGAATGTCGGTTGGTGCGGCCACCGATTGTGAAGTGGTTTCCTCTGGCTGCTGAGCCTGGGAGGGTGGCTCACCGGAAGGCGTCCTTTGTACCGGCAAAGGACCTTGTCGGGTTTCGGTAGGCATCCCACCGCTGCCACCAAATTGTCACGGTTTATTTCCTGGGTTCTCCAACGTTCTCGTCCTCGATCCCTGTCCGGAGCACCTCTACTTCTTTTCTCTCTTCGCTGTTACAATATGTATATATATATATACATAAACATCGCTGTAAATTGTAGTCCTTTTGGGACCTTTACACGTCACACGGGAAACTATGTGACGTTCTAACAAGCTACCTCCACGCGCGAGGACGTGTCTCCTGGTTTTCCGTCGGCGTGCGTTTCGTCAGGGTCCCATTTGTTCGGGTTATTATGTTACACTTTCATTTGTTTTATTTTTTGATACTTGTGGGCGCGATAAATATTTGTTTAAATCCTGATTTCCTCCGCTTCGGCGGCCCCACTTATACCCTTGTTACGCGGGTACACTTAACTGCAGTTACGCTAAGCCACAGTTGGTAAACAATACTTTCGGAATGACAGTAACTGTTTATGAGGCACATCAAAGATCTTCAGCTGTTAGAATCATCTGTGGAGTTTCTCAGGAGATCACAGAAGCGGACCTCCAGGTAGGGATACGCGCAACTGTCCCTGTCACCCAAGTGAGAAAACTAGGGAAATCAGATATCATGAAGCTTTCCTTTGCCACAGAATCTGCCCCAAAGTACGTCAATCTAGGCCAGACCAGATTCAAAATCCTACCGTACACAAACAAACCTCGACAATGTCCGAAATGCGGTTGCTTTGGGCCATGTTGCAAGTGTATGCAACAAGGGGGAGCGGTGTAGTTGCTGTGGTGGCAACCACCAACGCGGTGTGGTAAGCGAAAGAACCGCAGTGCATCAACTGCAACCCCCCCCCCCCCCCCCCCCCCCCCACGCCCTCCACGAATCGACATCACGCCAATGCACCTTCTACAAGACAGAAAAGAAGATATCAGCCTACTGCAGCGAAAACAACGTTAACTACACAGCTGCCAGGTCTGTGGTGAAGCCATCTGGCCCCAGAAATCAAGATCCTGAGCATAGAAGTTCGCCGAAATAAAGAAACCAAGAGAGCATCGCAAGCGGTTGTGATTCCCCCAGCGAGTGATGCAGACTTCCCACCTCTGCCAAGCCATTCAACTGACGGGACAAGTTCTGTTCAAAAGTCACCTGGTTCTTCACACGACCAACACCAAGAAAGCGTCAGCCAATCGAAGAAGCTCCAGTGGGCTCCAAAGCAAGTCCACAACGAGTGTAAGGCCCCACCGCTTTTAAGATCGAGTCAAACACCAAAATCACAGAACCTGGGAAATGCGCTAAACACGATAGCAACGCTGCTTCGTAATCTTCTCGTTTCCCTTGATTCTACACTGGCCACACGCTACAATCACAATCATACACATCGCTCTTCCTCTGGTCAGATCCTGGTGCAGGTAGAGAAGTTCCGTAATAACTCATTCAGTTTTCAATGGAATACTCGAGGCCTCCGCAACCGTCTTTCAGACTTTCGTCAATTAACCTTCCAATATCAATTCCCCGTAATAGCAATATCAAAATCGCTTGTTCCTCGAACATTACGCTTGTCCGGTTATGAAGTATTCCACTCATGTCGTGGAAGAAGTCGCAGCAGGCTTTTACTGGCGATTCGTAAGGACCTCACGTATGTGGTACACGATGTAAATCCCCATCCTACCAATGAATACGTGGCAGTAACAATTAGCAAGGACACTACGGTTCTAAGCTGCATACATTTAAACAAGGGCCAGATTCTACAAAGAAGTTCTAGACCAGCCTCACTGGGAATTTTAACGCCAACCATCCACTATGGGGAGGGGTAAAAGCCACATTACAAGGAAAACATATTTTAAACATTGCTCACCAACACGACCTAACCATATTGAATGACGGAAGTCCAACATTTGTTCAAGGTGCAACAATTACCAGCTGCTTAGAAATCACACTAGCATCGTCTTCCCTTTCGCTCCCACCTCGCTGGTTTGTAGACATCGAAACCCACGGGAGTGATCACTTTCCAACTTACAGATTGATACCCAAATTAATTAACGCTCGCCGTAAAAAAAAAAAGAAACTTTTTACATATACTAACTGGAATATGTTCAACGAAAAAATTGAAATAGCATGCCAGGAGATAACCACAATTATAGATTTTTTGAATATTGTAGAGAAAACAATATCGGAGGCTTCAAAAGCTTTAAGAATGCAGATCACCCAAATAGCTGGGGAGTACGAACGACTTCGAGCCATCGGTCAAAGAGCCGAACGAAGGGCAAGAGAAAAAAAAAATAGAGAAGATATAAGAAAGTCCAGACAAGCACAACGAACGGTGCAACGCCATCTCGATAAGCTTTCAATAAAACGATGGAGATCGAACAGTGCTAGACTGGATCCCAGGAAGCCTGTAACGGGAATGTGGCACATGACGCGAAGTTTAGGTTCCAGACCGCAGCAAACTCACCACTTTCGTTCGATCGCTTTACATCGACAAGTTACACAAAAGGATGTAACAAAGGAGTATTGCTTGCAGATTACTCACGACTTATCACTATCATACTTGACTATCCCTATAGCTAGTCATAAGACTGTATCAGTGCAAACGATGTCATCGATGCTCCGTTTACTTCAATACAACTAAAAGAGGCAGTAGATGGTTCTTTGTTCTTCTCGATGCGCCACGGACTCCCGATGTCATCAGCGAGAAGGCTCGGTGAGGCTTGGTATGGGGTAGGTATACTTTATATACAGGGAATCACGATAAAGCAACTTTTACAAAGCAGGAAGGGAACTTTCTGGCCGCCCCACGGACCCTCTCCGCGGCTACTCGAGGTGAGGCCTGCCCACCTAGCTCCAGACAAGAACCCCTTTTCCAGTCAAGACCACGCTTAAATACCAGCGGATACGCGCTGCTTACAATCCCCCCCAAGTGAAAGAACATAGAAAAAACACTCCGAACACTGACATCACTTTTCTCCAGCGCCATTCGTCAAAACTGACATCATTTCTTCAGACGCTTTGCTATTTGCCAAAACTGACATCACTCCTTCAGAGGCTTTGCCATTCGTCGGTTCTGATGTCAGGTCTTGCGCAACTCTCATACAACCTTGGCACTCCGGAATGCAATGCTGCTCGTCCATCCATCGGAGCACGGAGAGGAAACATGACACCCCGGCCAGCTTCCCGCAAATGGCAATCTCTTTACGGGTATGCATTAGTCACGAATGCGAAGGTGGCGGCGCCCGGCAACACATAGAGCACGCCGAGAAAGCGATAAACAATGACGCCAGACCTTACACCTCCCTTCCAAGATCCATTAATCTAAACCAAGATTAATTGGACTACAAACACAAAACGAAGTCCGGCGTCATTACAACACCACAAAATTAAGTCATGCACACTTCAAGGGTTACGCGAAATATAGGGGTATGAAAACACCATTGAACACTCAACGAGTCCACGAGACAAATGGTTCATTCCTTCCGCGGGAGTTCGTATTGGCACACAAAAGTCACAGCACTTTTCGTGTGGTCCACGAGGCCACATTCCACGCCTGCTTGCTATGGTGCTCGAGCCGGCAATGCTTCCCAGCAACCGTTAGGGAGCCTAGATAGGGCATCCGCATTTGTATGGGTGCTGCCCTTGCGGTGACGGATTATCACGTCGTAACGCTGTAGCGCTAAGGCCCAACGTGTGAGTTTTGCGCCCTGGGGCACGCTGCTTGTAAGGTACGAGAGCGGGTTATGGTCGGTAACGACGGTTACCTGGGTGCCGAAGACCCACGTCTCAAACTTCTTTAATCCCCAAATCACCCCGAATGCTTCGCGTTCGATCGTGGCCCACCGCGTTTGCGTTGGCGTGAACCGGTGACTTGCGAAGGCGATCGGAATTTCGGAGCCGTCGGCAGCTATCTGTGCTAAACAGGCACCGACGGCCACCATCGAGGCATCAGTGTGGAGCACATACGGCTTCCCCGGGTCAGGGGTAGCCAGCGACACGGCTTCGCAGAGGGCTTGCTTGAGGGCTTTAAATGCCTCGTGGGCTTCCGGAGGCCAAGGTATCTGAGTAGGCACCCCTTTCCCAGTGAGCTGCGTCAGCGGCCGAGCTATCTCTGCAAAGTTAGGAACGTAGCTACGGTAATAGCCACAGAGGCCGAGAGCGCTCCTCAGCTCTTTCTTTGTCTGGGGCACCTGGAGTCCTTCAATGGCCGCCACTTTCTCGGGATCTGGACCATGCCTCCCAGAACCTACAATATGCCCCAGATAGCGAATAGAAGGCCTAGCCACCTGACACTTTTCAAGGTTTGCATGCAAGCCTGCCGCCTGTAATGCTGTGAACACCCTCTGTAGGTGCTCAACGTGTTGTTCTAGCGACGTACTGAACACAGCTATGTCGTCTAGATAGGCGCACGCGTAGTCTTCGTGACCTGCCAGCACGAGATTCATATTTCTCTGGAAAGTGGCCGCCGCGTTTTTGAGGCCGAAGGGCATCACCCTCCATGCAAACTGACCACAGTGCGAGATGAACGCCGTACAAAGCTGAGAATCCTCGGCCAATGGCACCTGCCAGTAACCGCGTCGCAGGTCTATGAGCGTGATGAACTTGGCCGCCCCCACGCGCATGATGAGCTCCTGTGGGTGTCCCATTGGGAAGGCATCTGTTTCCGACACTGCATTAAGCGCGCGGTAATCGATGCACAAGCGCACCGACCCATCTTTCTTTGGCACGCATACGATCGGGTGTGCGAAGGCGCTTTCACATCGGTATATCAAACCTAGCTCCAGCAGCTCTCTGATCTGTTCAGTAACCTCCCCCTTTAAGGCGTCAGGAATCCTATAGGGGCGGCCGCGCTTTGGGCTAGCGCCTTCGATTAGCTTCACACGGTGTTCCCCCACTCGCGCGATACCCGGCTGGCCCGAGAAGAGCGCATGGTGCTGGTCGAACGCAGCACCTATACGGGCAGCTGTTTCTTCATCGATGTGCGCGGTCTTTTCATGATCGAGAATTGGACGCGCCTGGCCAGGCTCGGCTGCTCGCGGAGTGTATTCTACCTCCCCGAAGTCACAGTCATCGTGGAACATAACGCTCACCGATGCAACTTCGCAAACGTAGGGGCGCAGTTTGTTCGCGTGCACTAGCATGCGGCGGCCATCGCGCGTCTGCACGTAGTACGAGTGCTCACGATACCTTTCCGTTACTGTGCACGGCCCCAGCCACTTCGGGTACATTTTCCCTGCGCGGTTTGTGTCAAAGACGAGGACCGCGTCGCCCTCGTTAAACACCTTTAACATGGCGCGTTTGTTGTAGTGCGACGCGTACGCCTCCTGTTGCTTGCTTGTGGTGAGCTCCGCGGTGTCAGCTGCGAGCTCTAGTTGCGTTTTCAATTTCTCTAAGTAGTCCGCGGGAGCGTCCGCTAACTCCGCTGGGATCTCAATATCACCCGCCCAGCTTCTCCCGAGGATAGCGAGAGGCCCGACCGGGTCTCTACCGTAAAGCATCCGGAAAGGCGACACTCCCGTTGTGTCGTGGGGGACCTCTCGGTAGGCCCACAGCAAGAAGGGGACGAATCGATCCCAGTCTCGGGCGTCTCTCTCGATTACGTGAAACAACATATTTTTGAATACACGGTTCCACCTTTCCACGGACCCGTTACTTTCCGGGTGGTCAGGGGTCGAGAACCGTGGGGTGCAACCCAGTCTCGCGAGAAACTCGCTAGTAAGTGCAGCTGTGAAATTCGTTCCGCAGTCCGAACACACTACTTCTGGTACTCCTGTCCTGGTGAACACGGTCAGCAGCGCATCACATGTCGCTTTGGCTGACAGTGACTTTAGGCAAACCACCTCTGGCCAGCGTGTGCACAAGTCTATGACACACAATGCATAGCGGTGCCCTCTGGCTGAAGGTGGGTCGATAGGGCCGATCACGTCAATGTTGACTTTCTGAAATGGTAACTTCGGGCGCGTGAGCGGTGCTATCGGCACCCTATCGGACTGCCGTCTGTCTGATCGAACCTGACAACTGTGACATCCGTTGCAATGGTCGCGAATGTCGTTCTCCATGCCTGGCCAGTAAAAACTGTACTTAATGCGCGCTTTTGTTTTGCGGAAGCCGAGATGACCGCCCCAGTAGGACTCATGGGCCAGGCGAAGCACAGTGCTGCGGCGCGACTCGGGCAGTAATAACTGCAGCACTTTCTGACCAAGTACTTGATCTTTATGGTACAGCAATCCGTCTACTATTGACATGCCCGCCTTGCCACCTTTTGCATTTTGCCAAGCCCGTCGTAATGACTCGTCATCTCGCTGTTCATTACGGAACTTTCGCGCGTCACTGGTTTGCATCACCTCAGTCTCAAGATTCGGCTCCTCTCGCTCCTCTCCGGAGATATCAGGCGGTGGGGGAACATCGGTTGAATCCGTGTTGGAATTCGATGGCTCGAACAGGTTCTCCCGTTCTTGTCCCTGCTCTCCCTGCTGGCCCCGTTTTCCCACTGCTTGTATGTGAACCTCGTCATCCCCCTCATTATGCGTGTGCAACTGTTCCCATGTTTCCGCGGAGATCAGGCAGTCAGTGTGTGTGAGCCGATCCGTAAGAGCGCACACGACCTGCGTCGCGTCACCCACGTCGTGAATCAAGGATGCCCCGCGGTAAAGTGCGAGTGGTACCACGGCGAGCTTAGCTTCTACCTTCTCGCCGAATGCGGACACGAGTTCTATACTCCCATGCGGCTTTAGCAGCTCCTCTGGCACGCTGCTTTCACGGACTACTGTGATGTCTGCTCCGGTGTCGACAATTGCATCAATTACCTTGCCTCGGCAGCTAACTTTGACGCTCCCAAGCTTTGGATGTGCCAAGCTGCGGCTTTCAGCTGCGATACGTGCCGTTAATCTCTCTCCGCGTGGTCGTTCGTCACTTTTTACCCCCCTCGCTTCCCGAGCGAACGGGCATTGAGCCACGTAGTGGCTCGTGCTTCCGCACTGGAAGCATTCGCCCGGCCGAGACGCTTTCTTAACAACCGAGGGCGGCCTGGTCGTCTCGGGTTTCTCTGCCCGAGCTGTAACGCTCCCGGTTGTTTTTGATGCGCTCGGTATTACCCCTTGGTTGGTGCCCTTTGACTCTGCCCTTTTAGCGAGGTTTATTTTCGCGCACGCACTGCCCTCGCCCGCCGCTTCCTCATAGGTCTGCAGCAGCCGAGCCAGTTCGTCTGCTTTTAACCATTCTTCCCCCTCCCGCAGCTTAACGTACTTGGCGGCTTCTTCTGCTAAACCCGACTTCCACTGGTCGGCGACTAACAGTTCGAGAAGATTCTTAAAGGAGGAGACGCCGCGGGCCTCCACATAGAAGTTAATGTAACTCTGTAGACGAGTTGCAAACGTTTTCCAGGTCTCCCCCTTTCGCTTGGTCGCGGCAAGAAACCGCCTTTGGTATTCGGCCGCTGACAGCTTCAACTCGTCGAGAACTACTCCCTTGAGTATATCGTAATCCCTGTGTTCCGCAGGGGTTAGTCGCGTCGACAAGTATGCAACCCGCTCAGCGATCATCGGGAAGACGATCTGCCCCCACAGCGCCTTGGGAACGTCGTACGCACCCAGTGAGCTCTCCACTGACTCGAACCAAATAGGCACCTCGCCGTCGGTTGGGAATTTCGGGAAGGCACCTGCTAGCAACTTGGAGTAATATCTGAGTCCCATCTGGCCGCTCGAAGGTTCCGCCTCGCTCGCCTCGTCACGCCTCTGCGTCGCGGTGTCCAGTCGAACCCGAGCGAGCTCGAGTTCAAGTTCTAGAGCGCGTCGGCGCTCTCTGCTAGCTTCAGGTTATACTCCATTTCTTTTTCCGAGAGAGATGAGTCTGGCACGTGACTACCATCCCCGCCGCCTTTCCCGCTCTCGTTCATGTCTCTCCGATTTTTATCCGCGTTTAGGTGCGGAAATCTGGTATTCATATAATTGGGCCGGCTCGAGCAACACAACACATAACAGAGGAATGTGAACCAAGGGACTCACTCGGATATTTGTGTGTGCGCCTGGTCGCTCGTCGCCTGAAGCCGACGTCCTCGCTGCAGAAGTCTGATGGTGCTCTCCGCGCCCAATTCTCGGTCCCTGAGGCACGACAGTGGCGGTGCGTGACCGCGTGTCGGGTCGATGTTTTCTTCCCGGTGGCCTGCCAGCGGTCGCTCCTCGTCTGGGCGTCGACGGTTACTGCTTGGCGTCCTCTTCGTTCCGGAAACGTCGCAGATCTCTCCTTCGTAGCCTTTCTTGTCCCAGTCTTGACCTCGTGTCGTTCCTGCGGACGGCCAGTGAAGGAAACTCGATGATCTGTCTTTTCTTGTCCGCTGCTGAAACGCCGCCTTTGGCGTCCTGCGAGGGTTTCCTGTCGTCTTGTTGCCGTCGTCGATTCCTCCGTGGTGCTTTGTGCTGTCGACTGCGCCAGTAGATGGTTCTTTGTTCTTCTCGATGCGCCACGGACTCCCGATATCATCAGCGAGAAGGCTCGGTGAGGCTTGGTATGGGGTAGGTATACTTTATATACAGGGAATCACGATAAAGCAACTTTTACAAAGCAGGAAGGGAACTTTCTGGCCGCCCCACGGACCCTCTCCGCGGCTACTCGAGGTGAGGCCTGCCCACCTAGCTCCAGACAAGAACCCCTTTTCCAGTCAAGACCACGCTTAAATACCAGCGGATACGCGCTGCTTACAATCCCCCCCAAGTGAAAGAACATAGAAAAAACACTCCGAACACTGACATCACTTTTCTCCAGCGCCATTCGTCAAAACTGACATCATTTCTTCAGACGCTTTGCTATTTGCCAAAACTGACATCACTCCTTCAGAGGCTTTGCCATTCGTCGGTTCTGATGTCAGGTCTTGCGCAACTCTCATACAACCTTGGCACTCCGGAATGCAATGCTGCTCGTCCATCCATCGGAGCACGGAGAGGAAACATGACACCCCGGCCAGCTTCCCGCAAAGGGCAATCTCTTTACGGGTATGCATTAGTCACGAATGCGAAGGTGGCGGCGCCCGGCAACACATAGAGCACGCCGAGAAAGCGATAAACAATGACGCCAGACCTTACAGAGGCACTCTCTTCAACAAACAAGAACTCATCTGCTGGTCCAAATGGTGTCCGCTATTCTGCATTAGCACATCTTGATAGCGCGGCTAGAACATTCTTACTCGATGTCTATAACGCTTCGTGGGAATCTGGTAGAATACCAAAAGAGTGGACGACTTCACGGGTGATTCCCATACTTAAGCCAGTTATGACCCCTTTGGAGATGAGCTCACATCGATCCATCGCTTTATCGAGCTGTGTCACGAAAGTCACGGAAAAAATGATACTGTTGCGACTCGAATAGGATCTCAAGAACAGAAAGATACTTCCTGCGTGCATGTCAGGATTCTGCCGAGGAAGGAGCAGTATCGACAATGTCTTAGATCTAGTATTCACTGTTGAACAAGCAAACGCGAGCAAATTGAAAACAACTGCCGTCTTTATTGACATAAAAACTGCCTTTGATTCTGTGGATCATAACGCCATCCTTACAGATATGAGAAGGATTGGTCTCAGTACAAGGCTGTGTATTTAGATCTCCGGTTACCTGAAGGGTCGACACATCTTTATTTCCACTGAAGATGGAGACATCAATCTTTATGAAGTTAGAAGAGGACTACCTCTAGGAAGGTGTCCCAAGTCCCAACCTCTTCAACATATCTCTAATTCATCTTGTCAAACTACTTTCGAAAAATGTACAAACATCCTTTTACGCCAATGATATTTGCTTCTAGGTCTCTAGCAGATCGGTATATATATAAACAGAGCACGTATACAAAAAGCAATCAATATAACTGTAAAATACACACATTCACATGGAATGCAGATCTCACCAGCCAAATCCGCTGCTATCGCCTCCACGAGAAAGGATACGAGCAGATATCCCATTTCGATAGAGGGGACACAAATTGAATACGTTGAAGAACATACGTTCTTAGGAGTAACCCTAGGTAGACCTTTGTCATGGTCCCCACACACCAGGCGCGTAAAGCAAAAGCTGAAATCCTTCACACAAATTATTAAAATGATAAGTAGAACGAGATGGGGATGTTCAGTAAGAGCACTTTTGACTCTTTACAACGCTCTTTTTATCGGTCTATTACGCTACAGTATTTCAGTAATTCATAGTATCTCCAAGTCATCAATGAAAGACCTCGAACGTATTCAAGCGCAGGCTCTAAAAGTTTGCCTAGGACTAGCAAAATGCACATAAAAAATTAGAACTCTTGTTGAGGCTAGAGCGATTTCATCCGGTATCCTTAGAACCCAAAAAAAACTATTCGAGTTCACACGACACCAAGCGCGCAGCCAAGCACATCATGTGGCGTATATTACGGAGGTTAAACCCTCTGTTCGCTTTTCGCAAGTCATCTCGCAACTTCAAGGGTATATTTCAAAGAACATTGAATTAGCTAAAACTCCACAGCAAGCACCGTGGACGTGCAGTTCTATCGACATTAAATTGACCATCCCTGGTGTTACGCAAAAAGCAACAACTCCAACACCCGTTATGATGCAGCTGACACTTGAGTGTATACCTCATGCCTATCTCTCATCGCGACACATATATACGGATGGGTCAACTAACTTTATACCATCACCCATTGGAGCCTATATTCCGTCAACTAGCACGACAATCAAAACCAAACTGAGCAATATTGCATCCTCGACAGCAGCTGCACTTGCGACTCTCGGGGCAGCCTGCTACGTATACATCAGCACCCAAAACCCCCCAAACTGGACAATATTCGTAGACTCTAAGTCCGCTCTCAGTGCATTTATCCATAAAAGAAAGAAGAACGTGAATGCTCAATTGATCTATGACATTTTACAGAAATTCTGATGTCGATGTCAGGGACATGAAATTGTCTTACAGTGGGTACAGGGGCATAGTGGCATACCTGGCAGCATCTGTGCCGACAAAGCTGCTAGGGACGCCCACAAAGGGGATGATACCTATGCAGTTTCTCTGTCAAGGACAGATGCAAATGATATTATGTGAAAAATTAAGAGAGAGATATCATCCAGATTATGGAGAGATCCATGCTACTATTATGCATACTTAAAAAAAAATATTGATCGGAGTGAAAATTCCGAATGCTGAGAAATATAAAGTGACGAACAGAAACTGTGCTGCATCAATTACGCCTGGATGTGGCCTGCAAGACCGCAAAGTTGTTCCTGGGCACTATAATAAACATTGATTGATTAATAATATTAATAATAATATTATTATTTGCTGTTATTATTATTATTATTATTTATTAGGTATAAATCTGGGCCTACATTACGTACCTGGGGTAGCAGATATTGATCCGATTTTCTGTTCAGCTGGAAACATTAAAGTCTAAAACTAATTTCTCTTTAAGGATAAGTCTTAATAACGATTTAAAGACTTTATTAAAAAATCCACATAATTTTAAGAAACAAAATCTCACCTGGTACCACAAAACATCCTGAAATTAAGACGCAATAAAAAAACAAACGAAAAAAACAAAACTGACTGTGAGTTACTGTGCGTCGTCATTCACAATGCCGTATTTCACCGTCGCTTTCTCAAAGCGTGACAGCGGCAGAACGCAAAAATAAAAGATTTTACAGCCCACGTCGGTTGTAAATGGTCGCAATTTATGACCTCGGAGCTACGCATACCGCGACGGACGCACCGCGCTCCGGCTCGGAGTTGGTCGCAAACCGCGCCCGCAATTCTTATCTCGGACTGTTTTCGCTCGCTTCGCGGTGCCGGAAGAACGACTCCGAACAAGGCAGCTCCGGAGCGATCTTAACTCCAGAGGGTAATTCTTGAATGGACGGTGCAGTTTCGGAATATTACGTGACAGCGTTCCTGCACACGCACGCACACGATTCAATGTGCCACGCACTGCGCATGCGCACAAACCATATGTTCACGTGAGCTGGAGCGTCTGTACACCCGTGCCATGCAAATAATAATGCCATCGCGGTTGCGTGGCTTCAAGGTCACGCCTTTACAGGTTTTCATATGTATGCATAGAATTACTTCGAGTATTTTTTTTTTGTTGTAAGAAAATACACGTAAGTACAGATTGAATAGAAAAGAGAGACGAACTGAAAAAAAAGTGAAAGTCTGTTTTTTTATTCGCGTTTTGACGATGTTACACCTAAGTCTCACGCCATCATGTGCGCAACAGCCCTGCCATGTTGTACGGTGTCACACAACGATATCGTACGGGCAGCGTGAGATGGAGTTGACAACATGGAAACGACTAAATCATGTACACCGAAAAAAAACAAAAAAACTCCAACGAACATGCTAAAAAAGTAGTGACGAACAATTTATTTATTGTTTTTTTTTTCTTCAACGTGGTGTTTCTTCATGATATTGCTATCACATTCTGTAAAAATTGTTTCCGCATTGCTGCACGTTTTACTTTTTTATTCTTATTTTCAAATGTTTGATAAGAACCATATCGCCATTACTATACTGACAGCCTTCACCAGCAGTAAGAGGAATACGCAACCTGTAGATTGTCAACATGTGTCTCAATGTCGAACGGAAACCGTTCCTTCCAGGAGGAACGAAGGAACGCCGCCGTTCCGTCTCACATCGGTGGAACTGGAACGGAAACTCGTTACATTGTCGAGGGAACGGGACGAGGAAGAACGGCGCTCTTTTCTTTTTGTCCATATATCTGAAATTTTATACCAACTTAGGACACATTTAGGCATTTTATTATTGACTATTTCAAGCTCCGACTTCGAGGGATGGGAAAGTGTCAGAGAGATTGTCAAAAAACAAGGAATTGGAACAAATGTGATCATGGCGACACGACACGTATAGTTCAATTCGATTCAATTCAAATCATTTTATTTACTCCCATGGATGTGGATATTCTAACTTGCTCGCTTTATTTTATCTACTAGCGCAATATTCAACTAAAATACGCAAAGCATACCTTAATGCAAAAACACGTTACATTCTTAGAGAAGTTATACGGGAACGCGTTTCCTTTCAAACCCCTGGAACTTGGAACGGGAACTCGTTCCAAGACCGAGAAGGAACGAGGAACGAGCTTTCGTTCCTGTTTCGAAGGGACGTGCACCACACCGATTGTTGTGGCTGGACAGCTGTTCAGGTGGACGAGCCGGGGAGTCCACATCGCCGCAGAAAACGGGGACGGATAATCACGGCGAACAGTTCAAGCATCCCGGCGATCGATGAAGCTCAGAACACGATTAGGTCTGAGATATGCAATGGGCGCAGAGACAACCGAGCGAGTGAAACGTCTTCCCGCGCACATCGCATTGTTTTCGTCTAATCGTATTCAGAGCTCCGTCATTCGTTGCGACCTTTCTATGGTTCGCTGTGATTAGCTGCTTGCAGACAAAATGAACTTACA